GTGTAGCACTCCAGAATCCAAGGGCACTATATCTAGGAGGATATCAAATAGAAGAGGGAGACTTACCTAACTTGAAGCCACTTCAAATCCTACACTTCCTTGAGAAAATAGGAATGGAAGGATCGCTATAGGCATTGAGACATTTCCTTAGTGCAGTGGCGACAGAAGGGGGCACAATAGATCTTTTAGGTCGCAGTGTATTAACACCCCATTATCAACATAACATAAGATGTATAAGGATGATCCTGACGTCAGTTTTCAGTTTTATGATAGATATTACATGTTAATGTTATCAGTTGTATAATTGTTGTTAAAGTTGAGTTGAAATAAATTGCGATTCCAAAAACCTGTGTAACAATATCTTTTACAAGGACTATATAAAACTTTTCCACAAGATTGGTACACCTTGTATATACTCGTACTATTGATGTATGATTGAAATTGTATAAAATCGAAAACATTATTATAAAAAACTAGTAAATTAATTTTGTTTTTTTTTTTATTTTTCTTATTTTATCTATACATCTTTAGCGAAGTAACTCGCGATGGCTTCAGACCGCACAGGTTAGGTAAATTATTAAAGTTTCTCTTTTTTTAATTAGAATTCTTTTCCTTAATATATTTTACATTTGAGTTCATGTTTGGGATTAGAGCACCCCCACAGCTGTGATAATCAGAGATGTGAACTGGTAAATTACAGTGATAATTTACCGTAATTAACCAGAAATAAATTACAGTAATTTACGTTATTTACCACTATATACGGCATTTTCTGGTAAGTTATCATATTTCGCTTCATTAAAACTTCCCTCAAGACATCAGTTATCAAATAAATTACTAAACAGTGAATATGATCTCGTAAAAAAGTCCGTGAACGAAAAATTTCATACTGCTAAGACTGTAGGGATTCAAATTGATGGTTGGTCTTATATTCGCAATAAATCTATAGTTAATGTCCTCCTTACGGTAATTTCAAGATTTTTTAATTGAGGAACTGTTTGTTCTTAGTTTTTCATGGTATGTAGGTACTTTTTTAAATAAAACATATAGTAATTATTTCAAGTTGAGGTTTTATTATTTTGTCCAGATTTTTAAAAAATTGTCCGGAATATTCATTAGTAATGTCAGGAAATTGTATTTTGTAATATGGTAATCCTATTCTTACCACACCTGAGCCTGTGTTACTTAAAATAGTAGATACGAAAGCAGCTCGTCATGAAGCAACTTGCACGTGCAACATTATATCCGAAGTAGTTAATAAAATAGAAAAAGTTATGTCAATTACAACAGACAATGAAAGAAACGTGACAGCTAGCTGGAATTTACTTGCAGAAAAGTATTGCCTTTTATAGATCTAAAGAAGCCCTATTTGCTAAAGACTTTGTATGGACCAGTCTAAAAAATGGAAAACTGTTAGCAGTGACTTGGTGGAAATCGATTTATTTAACAACAAAGTTAAGCAAAGTAGCTGTAGAAGTATTAAACTGCCCACCGTCAACTGCTGCCACAGAACGAAGCTTATCAACGCATGGAAATTTCCATACAAATAAAATAAATCGACTAAGAAATGAAAGGGCACAAACAATTGTTTATATCAGACAAAATTTAAATATAGGTTTAGCAATTTCTAATTATGACCTATAATTAGGAATTAGTCAAATGCAGACCGATGAAATGGAATAAGACTTATAAAAAGATATATGACTCTGACAAAAACGTCTGACAAATCTATTTTTTATTTATTCTCCCCATCAAAACATATTACAAAATTCATGGCAACAACAACATTACAAAATTCATGGCAACAACAACAATACAAAATACAACAATATTTAACAATAGGAATGTTAATCCGGTTCATTACAATCTTCTTTGGAGTCTGAATATCAATCCGACCGGTCTGAAGTAGATAGCGAAATTGAACTAGATAACATATAGTTGATTTAGAGATCTCATTTAGTCCAGCTCATTGTGAAATACCAATGTAACATATGCATAATATAATTAATAAAACATAATTACCGATGCCCCTCCTATGAGGCCTCAGTATTGCATTCGTGCAGACGAAAAAAAATTTCGCCTGGTCGTCTGTGTGTATGTATGCCGGCACAATAACTCTAGAACTTTAGAACGAAAGTTCTGATTGACTTGCGGTTTTGATTTTCTTGAATAATTACTTCTAACTTAGAACCCTATTGATTTTCAGAATTTTCGGTTCATCCTAACTATTTTAATATCAATTTTCTTAAGATCGGCTTACGCATTTCTTATGTGACAATTTTAGGAATTTCAATTATTTCTAACGTCAACATTCTTTACATTCCATGAACTGCAAACATTCTCTAACGACCTGTCAAACATCAGCTGTTGATAGTAAAGGTGAAATTTCTAAGGCGGGTTGCGATCTTCATATTTGCAACTATAGCCATTTTGGAGGCTATTTTTATTCGAAATTAGTCGCCAAGTCTGCCAATTTATGAAAAATAAGCAGATTCTTAAAAATTACTTTTTTTATTGTGATGCTAACTTAAGCGTACTACTATTTCGCCCCTAGCCACAAAAACACCATCAAATTTACTGGCTGTCTGTCGCAACCCCATAGAATAATTAACCGGCCATTTTATTTGGCAAAAATCAGAATAATGCTTGGCTGTGCCTGTCAAGTATCAAGATGTCAACTGTGATGTGTGAATGGCTCTTAAATGTCAAATTATTTAAAAATGTATGCTTCTTTTGATATTTATTGCAAATAATTTGTAGTGTATCTCAATTAAAGCTTTCCATAAATAAAGGTACAGCAAGACAGATAATACAAAGCACAAGCATACAAGTTCTTATACAAAGCACTGTTTTATTATATAAAAGAGAGGTAGGATATAATGCTGGTTTACATATTCAACCTGCGAATTGTAAATAATAATTAGTAAACTCTCCTAGTCATAAATTTCCTCAATTCATAAAATTTAAAAATGAATCTTCTTACCTTGGGATTTTAATGACGTAATGTGATCAACCCATTCCAAATTTTGATGTTTGTTGTTTTTCATTTTAATTATAAAGTTGTCATTTATTTGTATGTTGAAAGAAGGCCTTTGTAAATTACATTGCTCTCTTTGGATCTACTTTAACACAAAAATAGTTTTGTGGCTATAAGTTGCTATAACCTATCGTCTCAAAACTATAATTTAAACATAGTAAGTAGTAAAATGAGGTGTAAAATAACAATAAATTAAGGGAAATACTTAAAAAGGGCAGGTTGAAAGAGTATTATCACAAGAAAGGATATCCGTTCTGTTTATTTATCAAGTATTGTTTGAGGATACTTTTGAATACATTTATTGTTGTTTTTTTTTTATTTCTGTAGGCAGTCTATTAAATTTTTTAAACCTTTAATAAAAATTATATTTTGGGAACTTTTATTGATGGCTTACCGTACATGAAAGTCAGATTGGCTTCTTGTATTATAGTTGTGATATTGCGAATTATATTGAATTGTTTCTAATAGATCTGATGCAATGGTACTATGTTATTTTTATTTTATAAATAAATATCAGTCATGTACTGAACATAATTCCGAACTGAAAGCTTGTGAAAATCATCAGATGGTTAAACCTAAGTAATGCCAATGCCTCACAAAACAAAAAATTCAACGTCCTAATACTACTATCGGCTTTCGTTCCAAGTTAAATCATTTCTCGTTTTTGTTACGCTACGAGTTTACCCTTGTGGGCCTCAGTCTCGATAAGTTGGGAACCACCATTTTAGCGACTCTTGAATTAATCTTATATAATTCTTATTAAATTAAAATAAATTTTTCTTATACAAAGTACGAGGAACTTAAGTTTTTTTTTAGATTAATTTCCTGCACAAACAATAAAATTTCATTTGATGTTTTGTTTTCTTTCGCGTTTTGTATTACTTAAATCTAAATTTAAATTATATTTAGTAAAAAATAATTAGTTTTATTCAAAAACAAATGAAACAATTCTATGTTCGACACAGACACTTACACATCTTAATTTCATTTCGAAGTCATTATTAGTCATGTATGTGTATAAAATATATTACGGTAAATTACCACAGTAATTTAAGACACAAATTTATTACCAGGATAATTCATTTTGGTAATTAAAACCCGTAAATTACCAAAAATATAAATTACGGTAATTTCTCATCACTGGTGATAATACTATCAAAGTATATTAACCGTTGAGTAGCGACATAAAGCGTCGGTGCCTTTGATCTTGGGTGGTGCAAATTTTCTTTCTCTCTCTTTTGATGTTATTGACGGAACGACACACTAAAACACTGCTCGAATTATGAACTGGTCTTGAATGTGATGTTTACACTGCTCGACGTAATTTGAAGTTAAACTCTTTTGTAGTTTACATTTATAATAAAGGTTTGGTCATTAGGCAGTTTTACATTTATGAGTATTTAACTTATGTAATAAATATAAAAATATATATCACTATTGTTAAATTTCAATTTTTTTACCTACGTCCGGATGAGCTAGAGACTTGAAAGTTGGTAGGTGCACAGGGTTTTGATTTTTGATAACAATAGAAATTATTACTTATGTACCTTCTTATTTATTAATCGAGTTGTCTCAAACTTTAAATTTCGCGTTGTTTAAACATGTCGCGGAATACAATTTTTGACTAATAAATCCACAACGAATTCCTATATCAGCTGCCGGACTAAAGTGAAAGGGGTTGTTTACATCTTTAGAAGACGCCTCTCTATTTCGCGTCGGCGCACTAGAATTCGGTTCCCCAGCTGTCGCTACTCAACGGTTGATATACTTTGATACTATCATGTACTTTACCGTCTCAGGTCAGTTTCATTTTTTTAGTGTCAAGATTGTTATTTTTAAGCTATTAAGTTTGAAAACGCATAGAACAATTCTCTATACTGTAACTATTTAGCAATCATTCCTTTATATTTATTTTATTATAAAGATCATCACTACTTTACTTTTAATAAAAAAAAAAATAAAATTAAGTAAAATACTTACCAGTAAAACCATCTCTGAAATCGATCGAAGCACCAATAATAAGTTCTGAAGTTAAATGTAACGCTCTGACAGGTCCCGGTGGTTCTCTAACTTCAGCTTTCAACGCGCCATCTATAACCAACATGGCTTCTTTCCTGTTCCTTTCTACAGACACAGAATGCCAATGGTCGTCATTTAGTCTATATGAAACTTCTCTGATTACGGCAATGGGTCCCGAACCCGCTTGGTATTGGAATTGCAGCTGATTGCCGTTAACGATGGACAGCTTTATATAATCAGTTGGACCTAAAAGTTTCAATAAGTAATAGGAACTTGTGACGAAGTCACTAAAAATTTCTTTATTTATTCCCTAAATTAATTTCTAAAACTAATGTCCGTCTATGAACATTTGCGAGACCCCCTATGGTAACTAATATTTCCATAGAATTACCGTTTTTAAACCTTTGCAAGAGCCCTCGTAGTTTAAAACTTTTCATTATCACAATAAATTAAATCATGTCTTAAAATCTCAATTCTAGTAGGTTTATCAGTATGCCGATCAATCAACCTTTTTTTTGCAAAACAACTAATAACAAAGGATTAGGAACTAACGTCCCCACTCTGGCAAAAGTCAGACTTTTGATAAAAGCAGATGTCTTCGAGGAGATGCCCTCTTTTCCACGCCGTTTTTCGTCGCTGTTTGACCGTTTAAGTGATATTGTGCTGGATATTAGTCGAAACCGATTTTTCGTAATTTAGTTTCCGAGATTGTGAGGAGTTAATCAAGGTAGGCACTTTATTTAAAATTCCGTCTAATAATTATCCCTGCAACGTTCATTTCCGTTTCTATTGTCTACATAAGGAATTTGACCTGACCTTTTAATTTCCTTAGTACCTGTTAGAATAATAAAGCAAATTGGATTTAGATCCGGGGGCATTAGCACCCTTCATCCATTTTCGCGTTAACCAGGGGATGAGCGGTATTCGCTTGTTTCCTCCGTCGATAATCAGAGCTGTTTCTCTCTTATAGAAGCTATGGACTACCAGCTGTCTACATAAGAGAAACTTTAACACCTAACAAATAAAGATAAAACCGTCATTGTTCCCTAAAGTGTTGGTCGAAAAATTCCGTTTTAAGCCATTTGTTATTTGTGACTATTATGCCTGGTAAAATAATATTGCGGGGAGGATATTAACCGTTATTCTTGCAAGTGCAACAGTCATTTTCCTTTCATGAGTGCAGAGTGATACAGTTCACCGCCGTCCATAAATTTCCATCATTAATTATTTTCTTTATTTTCTAATATGTATAGTTCAAACCACATTTAATTTTACTGTTGTCGATTTTTTTGTCTTACTACTAAAAACCGATTGTTTTCTTTAGTAGGAAAGAATTTGTGCTAAGGGTGTTACTGCCCACCGTTTTATTTTTTTTTTTTTTAAGGAAATTATTATTTTTATTTTCTCATGAGTATGGTATAAGTCATAGTTAATTTTACCGTTAGAGCACTTTTCTGTTGATACCGAGACCTTTTACTTTATCAACAACACATTTATTCCGCCTATATTTTTTTTACCGTTGTTACATGTACCGGGTGGTGTGATTTCACCCAAGTTCCATTTGTTTTATTTTATTTATTACTTATTCATTTTATTTTGTAAATATATATTTGATTTTAATTCCTGAGTTTAAGTTTGAGATACCCCTTTACTTTTCCGTTTTCAGAGCTTAGTTATTAGTAGGTAAAAGTGCAGTGAAAAGTTTTATTTTTACCTTTATTTTATTACCCCAGTGTAGGTCAAGTAAGCAGTGAAGGTCTGGCCGTTTTATTTAATTTCTTTTTTTTTGTACCTGGACTCCACTGAGTCTGCTGAGGGTGTACTCTAGGTGCATCCCAGGGCTGCAGAGTAGACTGCTTTACCAAAACTGGCGCCTGAGAAACCCTTGTTCGAAGAACAGCCTAGCGCCACCCCAACCCCTTTTCTTTATTTTTAGGGGTGAAGAAAAGGGTGTTACAAACTAATGGAAGACCATTTTTACAAAATAGGCATGTCCAAAATCAGCTTTTTGTCAGGAAACGCAAAAAGTTCTAATAGACCCTATGAAATGCTCTATATTTGATAGTGAATATCTTTTTTCTACACCCACATGGATATTAGCTTATCTGCTCACAGATTATAAAACGAAAACGTATGCTATTGGCTTCAACTGAACGAATATATTTCATATTCATTTTAGGTAGTGAGAACGCTGCAAAAAAATTAAATACCAATCACAATTTATATTTTGATCAACAGACTGCTATTATTTTTAAAATTTTAAATAAGTAACAATTCTGTCAAACTAATTGTCAGTATATTTTTTAGTTATTGAGATTAAACATACATTAAAATGAGTTATTCTTGTGTGGAATCAATAAATAATAGAATTTATAATTTGATTTCGTCATTAATTATAAATAATTTGTTAATTTAAAAAAAAATGAAGTCAATTTAATTACGAAAAAAAAAAAAATAAACGTGTAGATGGTCCTTTGGTCAGGGTTCTTGCCTTCCATACGGAAGACTCGAGTTCAAATCTCAGATGGAGAAAAATTAAGTGAAAATGTTTTTTTTTCTTGTTTATTTTATTTCATAATTTAGTAAAAGTAAAATTATTTTTAAATTAATTATTTTATCTTTTTATCTAAAAAAAAAAATAATATTTGTAGATTTTCGTTAGTGGGTCGTAGAAAAAATATACTGTACAACTCGAGTGGATTGTCCATATCGCACTTAGACGTCTTCGTGCGATATGGCCATAATATCCACTCTTGTTGCACAAACTATTGTGTTAATTTTTTAAGAAATCACTAAATCATCATTTGTTACGGTAAGTACAATAATTGGCCACTGATCATTACAGTTAACTCAATTTGGGATTTATGAAATAAGTCTTATAAATTATTTTTTTTTACCTGTAGAATGGAAGAGGACCGCATTTGCTGTAGCCGTTCTGAACTCGAAATATATGTCGCCGCTGTGACCCATATCGAATGTGGGCAGATTGATAGTGGCGTCTGCCACACGGAAGGTTACAACGTTATTAAACAAATCATCACCTTCGCAAATGACAGGTCCTAGAGTGTAACGTCCTTCTCTTTCGTCCAGAGCGTTACCGGTGTCTCCGAATCGCAGCTGTTTGACAGGCAGGCTTTCTTTATCTTGCAGATCACCTAGTAATAAGTTCATTAAATAAGTCTGCTTGGATATAAATTCTAATCCAAATAAATAAATAAATAATTAATAAAAATAGCAATGACCCAGTGTTTGAATCATAAGGCACAACTGATTTAATATTTTGGTGAATAATAATAATAATAGCCACTGAATCATGACTTTACTTTTACCTGCATCAACCAGCCAAATGTCAGCATTGATTGGACCTTGTCCATCACAGTTGCACCATTTGGTGGGATCGGTGCAAGTGCCCAGAATACCGCATTCGCATTTTCTAGATCCGGGGAGAGCGCCTCCCCAATAATCCATTTTTTGATTGTGTCTGGAAACCCACCAAGAGAAAGGCTGAAACATGTTTTCTTCCGAGGGAGAGTTCATCAATCGGGCACCCTACAAAAAATAACTGCGAGATTTTTATCCAACTTAACAAGTTAGAAAGGATGACGGAGAACAGTTTCACACAGTATGGATAAACAGGTATAAGTAGAATACATTCATGAATTGTGAATAGGAAATGGGACAAACTGAATAAAAATCAACTAGTTTTATAAATATACTCACCCTACAAGCATACTGTATGTGCTGTCTACAACTAGTAGACCGATTAATTAAAGCAGCAATTTGATCATCATCGGCTTCGTAATGAATATCCTGTATAAAACTACCCGGCTCCTGGAACCCGTCTACCGGCGTAGTTTCTTCGTTGCTGTGATGTAAGACCGTGCCTACTTTACCGTTTGCGTAAAATTCACAAGTTACTGGGAACGGAGCCAAAGGTCCGCTACCGTCAACATCTATTTTGATTTCAGCGCGTTGTCCTACGGCTTGGACGTTCTTGAAAGCCACGCAAGAGAGAGGGTTGATTGAACTGTGGCATACAGCGCCACTATAGCCAGTGTTCTGAGAAAAGGTTATTTGGGTTTACAATCTAGAACCATGGTCCATCACATGAAAATCATTATTTACCTTACAAAGGCAGAAAAATTCCATCGAATTCTGCTTGCAGACTCCTCCATGTTGACAGGGATTGGGATTGCATTTGTCGGTCATGTGGCAAGCATCAAAAACGACTTCTTCTCCACAACAATACTCCTCTTTGGTCCAATCCGTCGGCAATTTGCTGTTACCATCGATCCTTATATTCCTCATACAACCCACAAAACCAGGGAAAATAGTATTAGAATAACCCAGAGGTGCGGTAACCTAAAAAGAAGTCGAGTAATAAAAATAGTCAAAATGGTGTATTAATAGAAACTTACCCCTCCTGCAATAAAGTAGAGCGATCCTGTAACTATTTTCAATATACGCGTGGTTGTCATTGGTCTATAATCGACGCTGAATATGATTTTATTTGTTTGAATTGTTAAAACAACGGAGTGCCATCGACCATCGTTGAATTGCTCATCGAAGTTGTCGAAAATAACTTTCGGATTGTTAGGAGAAACTAATTCCACTTTAAGTTTGCCGAATTCTAAATAGATCTAAAAAAGAGTACACGGAATTTAGGTATGAAGTTAGTTAATCTCAAAATTGGTTTATTATACGTGCTTCATTGGTTTTGTTGATTTTTTAAAGGCATTTGATACAGTAAATAACACTTATTGAGTATCACAGACTCGGGAAAGCGATTACCTACAGCAGAATAAAGGTGGATAAAAGAATGTGGTTCTCAAGAGCTGCAAACGGAAAAGGGGATACAATAGGGAGATTATTTAAGCTCATTTGTTTGACCAAATATTCAAATTTTTCATAAGATTATTAACAACTCAAATTTAGCAATTTAGTTGGTTTCTCTAGTGTTAGAAACCATTAAATTAATTTAATAAAATAATTTGTATTTGTCGACGTCCTGTATATTTTGGACTGAGTCAGCGTTTTGATAGATAAGCACCGACCGCTATCGGTCGTGCGGGGATCAGTTTTGAATGATACCTCGGCACGCTCGTGTTAAACGCCGTTTGTGTTTATCAAATTTATATTTCGTATTTTTGTTATTAGAATCTTGTTTAGTTCGTATTTCGTTTTATTTATTCTAACATCAGAAGTGAGGATTACCTACTCGTTGCCTGCTTTTTCTGCGAATTGTAAAAATTACCGTAATTACCTAATGAATGTGAATATTGTGATAAGTTTTTCTGAGATTTATTTTATTTTGCCGGTGTTGATCGCATTTGTGTTTTAGATCGACACAAAAATGTAAACAAAACGTTATATTTGTTTTAAATAATGATAATATGGCTTTTGAAAAGAAAATAACTGTAGCACTTAAAAAGTATCGAATTACATCGACGGTAGAGTGGCAATACTCTCGATGACGGTGTTGTTTGTTGGGTTGAAAACCTATTTGCTCTTCTATAAACGCTTATTTTTTTTAGATTATTGTGCTATTTAGACACGTTTTTTTTTATTAAGACGATTTGTTTTAAGCAGTTTATCACACATTAAAATACAATCACGATTATTTATATTACTGAATTGCCACGTATAAGTTTGTATGGCTTGAACTAATTTTCAGCTATAATTTATTTATTTTTATGTTGTATATTGCGCAGATATTTAGTTAAATAATCCAACAGTTCTTATATTCGTTTTAAAGTTCGGATCAGTTCTCTTTGATTAGGAAATCTAGATTTTGGCATCTTAAATGTATCTTTTTGTTAATTATGGCTCTTTTGGGTTATATCTTAAAATTATTAAATAAATACTTAAAAAAAATTTATAAACAGCTGTATTGCTGTAGTGGTTGGAAATGTATAACGTTTCTGAATCTGTAACTGTTTTATTCCACAGTTGTTTGTCTATTTTGACTGTTCTAAAATTCCAAAATGAGTAGAAGCACTTACATAAAAAAAAAATAAGAAAAAGGTAAATAATAATTGAATTAATCACAGAAATTTTAAATTTTATGAAATTACTTAAATAAAATTTAACAATAATAAGATTTTTTTCTTTTCGTTTTTTCGTTTTTTTTTTTTTTTTTATTTTAATTTTTTTTGTTCAACAAGTGAACTGATCCATGCTGAAAATCGAAAGTAGCTATTTATGGTTAGTTAGACATCAGAATATTATCATTTTTGTTTTCTGCATTAAAGAAAACCAGCAAGAATGGAAGAGCTGATATCTCAGCTGGTAAAGGCTATCAAGTCTTCAAAAACAGCTCCGGAACAAGTCGATCTACCGCTCTTTAAACCCGAAGTCAATGACGCGAAAAGATGGTTGGCTGAAATATCAGAAATTAAAACTGAATTTGAGTGGACTGATCAACAGACCTTAGTTAGGGTAGGTCGGTTCTTAACAGGCGTTTCAAAGACGTGGTTTGAAGTATGGTCACCAGCAATAAAAAGTTAGGAAGGATTTCAGCGCGATTTTTCTGAAGCTTTTCCACCCAAGAAAAATTTGGGTCGCTTACTTTCAGAAGCCGCAGAATTCAACACAAACTCATGTAACACATACGACGCCTATGTCTTCCAGAAGGTAGGCATATTAAGAAATTTGAGGGCTAATTGGGAGGAAGCTGACCTTGTAGAACTCATAATCCATGGAATCAAAGAGCGGGATGTACAGACTACGGCTATGAACTTAAACTTTAGAAAAATCTCGGAATTGTTGACATTTCTAGGAACATTAACCAAACCGCTACAAGTTGAAAAACGTTTAAGTTCGAATTGTCCCACTGATTTAGAGGAGCCATCAAGGAAGCGTTTTCGCGAAAATTCTCGTGAACTACAAGATTTTCGTAAGCCACCTATTAACGTTAAGTGCTATCGTTGTGGAAAATCAGGACACGTTCAACGACATTGCACCTTTTCTACTCCAAGCAGTTCAAAATCAAATTTACCTGTTGTAGCCACTACTTCTACAAATACAAAAGTAGTTGTTCATTTTGTGCGAAATCTGGCCATGATATTAGCAACTGTTTCACACGACAGAATATTAAAAAACGGAAAAAAGTAAATTTTTGTAGTACCGGCAAAGACATGATGCTGGAAAAGCTCAAGATTGATGGAAAAGATTACCGTGGAATAATTGACACTGGAGTGGACTATCTCTTATAGCCAAACGCCATTCACCAAAATTTGTGCATAAAGTATCCTCATGCAAATTAATGCTAAGAGGAATACTTGCCGGGAGCATCACTATCGACCAAGAGTTTAAGGCGATTTTAGAAATATCCGATGTTGTTACAGATTTGGTATTCCACGTAGTTCCAGATTATATTCTAGAACATGATGTTATAATCGGTCGAAATTTGTACAATGATCCTGAAATATCAACGATCACGGACCTAACGGGAACACGTGTAGTCCGCAATAAAATTCCTCGCATTTTTCGTATTTCAGATATCACAAACACCTTAGTTGATCCAATAAATGTATCAGACGAATATCGCCATGATATTTTAAAGCTGCTTTCACGGTTTCCTAAGTTGCTCCCTGTCAATGGATACTTACCTGAAGTAAATAATGCTAGACTTCAGATTAATTTAAATGATTTTGTTGTAAATAGAAATCCTTATCGCTTGTCTGTTAGTGAAAGAAACGCTGTACGAGACATTGTTGATGAATTGATTTCCCGCAAAATTGTTAGGGAAAGTGATTCACCATTTGCTAGTCCCATCATTCTGGTACGAAAGAAAGAGGGATCATACCGAATGTGTGTGGACTATCGTCAGCTTAACGCCCACACAATAAAGAATCGATTTCCACTACCGCTCATAGAAGATCAGCTTGACCGACTTGGTTCGGGACGTATATTTACCTCATTAGATATGTCTTCAGGATTTTACCAGATACCCATAGCAGAAGACTCTATCGAAAAGACAGCCTTCGTTACGCCGGATGGACATTTCGAATATTTGCGGATGCCATTCGGTTTAGCTAATGCTCCAGCCGTTTTCCAGCAAGCTATAAATAAAGCATTAGGTTCTTTGAAAGACAATGTAGCTTTGGTTTATTTGGATGACATCTTGATTCCGTCCCAAAATATTCAAGATTCATTGCGATCACTCGAGCTTGTTTTTGAGGCCTTACAAAACGCCGGATTTTCCTTGAATCTTCAAAAGGCCACTTTTTTAAAGATACATTGGATTATTTGGGGAGAGAAATATCAGCTGACGGCATACGTCCTGGTGTGCGTAAAGTTGAAGCACTAGTTAATTCTGTCATTCCTACTACCGTTAAGCAAGTAAGACAATTTATGGGACTTGCAGGGTATTTTCGCAAATTTATACCCGAATATGCAACACGTACGGCAAGTATAACAAAACTAACACGCGCTAGTGAACCATTTATCTGGGCTGATCAGCAAGAGTGTGCCAGGAAATATATTATCGATTGTTTGATTTCAGGACCTCTTTTATCAATTTTTGTTCACTCTTTGGCGACTGAGTTACACACCGACGCCAGCTCCATTGGGTACGGAGCAATGTTATTGCAAAAGAAAGAAGAAAATATCAGAGTTATTGGATACTTTAGCAAGAGGACCAATAAATATGAAGAAAATTATCATTCATATGAATTGGATACACTTGCAGTAGTAAATGCTTTGAAACACTTCCGTGTATACTTGCTGGGTATAAATTTTACACTAATAACCGATTGCAATGCCATAAAAGCTACTTCAACGAAAAAGGATATTCTTTCCCGTGTCGCACGTTGGTGGTGCTATATGCAAGATTTTGATTTTTCTATTGTTTACCGAAAAGGCAGCTCTCTTCCCCATGTTGACTTTTTAAGCCGGAACCCTGCAATAGTACGTCGTTTGGATGCCAAAGATAACTGGCTCTATGTCGAACAGAGAGGTGATGCCGAAATTCGACAAATGATTGAAGACTCGAAAGAGGGTCGTTTGGATCAAAAACGATACTCATTGAAAGATGGGATATTACATTATGCTGTTACGACACCTGATGGTACACTCATGAAACCATTTGTTCCGAAGCAAAGTAGACTTGGACTCCTGCGTATTTTCCATGACGAACAATGCCACATCGGGATGGACAAAACTATTGAATCTATTAGCAGGCATTTTTGGTTCCCCAAATTACGTATCATCGTCAAAAAGTACATTAAACACTGTTTGGTTTGTGCTGTTAAGAAAACAAGTTCCGGTCCCCTACAAGGACTAATAAAAAACGTAAACAAGCCAACTACACCAATGCAAGTTTTACATGCAGACTGTCTTGGACCGCTTGAAAAAACATCTGAAGGTTTCAAACACATTCTTGTCCTAATAGATGCCTTTTCAAAGTATTGCTTATTGCAGCCCTTAAAGACATTAAAAGCCGATGAGACAAGACTTGCATTTCAAGCATTTATTTCATTATTTGGAACTCCTCAACAGATTACGATGGATGCCGGCACCAACTTCAAAAATCTAAGCCTCCCTTAATATTTGGATAGCCTTGGAGTGACGTATCATTATACAACGCCAGATGTCCATCGTTCTAATGGGCAAGTGAAACGCTATATGCGCACCATTATGAATCTCATACGCGTGGAAACAAGTATTAAATCTGACTGGTCAAAAAGTATCTGGAAGATACAACATCTGGAAGATACAACTTGTTTTAAATTCGACTATACAAAAGCCCACTCAAACTTCACCTTTAAGAGCCCTGATTGGAATAGACGGCTCAACACCTCTGATCCAGAGTTTACTGAAGAACCTTGACAAGGACCTTCGTCCGATTAGAAGTAAAGAGTTAGACCGTAAAAAAATAAATGACTAGCTTAATCAATCTAAAGATGCCATAATCAATGCCAACCAAAAGCGTCGTAATAATATCGAGTTCACCAAGGGAGATTTTGTCTTGATGCACAGAGATGACAAAATGCATCAAGGAAAATTAAAGTACGAATTTCAAGGGCCTTTTGAAGTCATGGGTACTACTCCTGAGGGCCGCTACGAACTAAAACGGGTTGGGAAATCCACCATCACCAAAGCTGCTAAGGAGCAGTTAAGAATATGGCCAACTGATTGGTCTCTATCACTTGACATGACTGATCTACTAGTATTAGACGATGAGAATGATGATGATGATGACAATAATAATGAAAGGTTAGTAATATTGTAATGTTTATGGCCCGTGTTAGAAATGTATAAGTGTTGAAAGCATGGACGCTTTGCACTGCTAGTAATAAATGAGTGTTGAAAGCATGGACGCTTTGCACTATTGTTAATGTATAAGTGTTGAAAGCATGGACGCTTTGCAGTGTTTTTTAATGAATAAGTGTTGAAAGCATGGACGCTTTGCACTGTTAGTAATAAATGAGTGTTGAAAGCATGGACGCTTTGCACTATTAGTAATAAATGATTGTTGAAAGCATGGACGATTTGCACTGTTAGTAATAAATGAGTGTTGAAAGCATAGACGCTTTGCACTGTTGTTAATGTATAAGTGTTGAAAGAATGGACGCTTTGCACTGTTGTTTATGAATGAGTGTTGAAAGCATGGACGCTTTACACTGTTGTTGATGAATAAGTGTTGAAAGCATGGGTCCTTTGCACTGTTAATAACGAATAAGTGTTGAAAGCATGGACACTTTGCACTGTTGGTAATGTATGGATTTTGAAGGCATGGACGCTTTACAGTGTCAGTAATGGGTGTTTGTTGAAACCATGTAAGGTTGGCATTATGCAAAATCATTATGAACGTTATGGATTATTATTAGCGTATTGAATGCATGGATGTTTTATGCAGTGAATAACATTGATAACGTAGGCGCTAGTATGGATAAGCGACTAGAGTTTAAAGTGGTTTTAATGTGTCATTAAGCTAAACAATACTGAAATAACTAAGTACCTAAAACAAGTTTTTTTGTTATTTCCAGCACCAACGAGGCAGCCGTTCCTGAAAACGAAGCCAATGCCCCGTAACCTATTTTATGGAGAAAAGAGACTTCGAGAGCGAAGTCCGTGTCAGAATTGGCCGTGTTAGAAACCATTAAATTAATTTAATAAAATAATTTGTATTTGTCGACGTCCTGTATATTTTGGACTGAGTCAGCGTTTTGATAGATAAGCACCGACCGCTATCGGTCGTGCGGGGATCAGTTTTAAATGATACCTCGGAACGCTCGTGTTAAACGCCGTTTGTGTTTATCAAATTTATATTTCGTATTTTTGTTATTAGAATCTTGTTTAGTTCGTATTTCGTTTTATTTATTCTAACACTAGCATTTATAGTTACTTCACAATTAATTATCAAAGTTCGAGTAAATAGACCATGCCCCCGTTTTTCTTGTAGAGGCGAGGCCGGTACGATACGTCATCGGCGCCGATCGGCTGCTAGAGAGTTAGGTTTATGTAGTAAACATTATAATTACGCCTTTGCTGTTGTTTCTATTTTTCGAAACGGCTGCTCAAAATATCAGGTATAAATATTGTATTGTGCCGAAATGTACAAATACGGAAACAGTGGTGTAATACAATGAATAGAGACAAAGTTCTTTTGAGTACATGTAATCAGTTTTTTTGTAAAGATCATTTATATACAGTAGTATCTTTAGTCGTACTAGTACACGTGCTTACTTTTAAGGGCTGCTACTGCTTAATTCAAATGTCTTGTAATAAAACATCTATAAAAATTCAGTTTTTATTTTTCATAAATAATAATATATTTTTTTTATTTCCAAGCCCATTTAAAAATGGCGGAAGGGAAGTAGGTAGACTTAGAAAGACAGTGGATAAGAAAGAGGCACAAGAAATAGCTTAAAAACAGGAGAAATAGTTCAAAGATATAATGGGTGTTTATTTAGTATAATTTACTTACAGCTACATATCCACTAGTCGAAAAAGCATGATATAACATGAGGCCGTTATCTTCAAAAGTCCTAAAAGCGAAAGAAGAATTCATAGCTGCCATTCCTTCATAGCCCTTCAATCTAGCAAAGGAATGTTGCGTTTTGAATGTCACTGGAACTATTTGAGGTTCCTAAAACAAGAAATATAGATTAATGTAATGTTTTCAATATACTTTTATGGGTACTTACAGGACAATTCCAGAGAGTATGGACTCGTTCATATTTAAAGCTGTCTCCGTAGTTAACAGCTTCTTTAGCCTCTTTGAAAAGATTCGTAGAATTTATGTAAAAGTTTTCCATACATCCTGTGTAATTTTGTACAACAACCAACCCTTCTTGTATATTTGGAACGCCGCCGACATAAAACTACAAAAACGACATTAAAGCACAATTTAGAAAAAGTTAATAAATAATATTACCTCTCTGTTTAAGTTTAACCTTTGGAATTCACCTTTAATTTTTTCATAAACTACTACTCTATCAACGGAAAATAAGATGTCTCTTCTATTTCTCGATATAACAACGTCATGCCAAATATTGTCATCCAGTAAGCTACCTACCGAAAGGCTAGTAACTACACCAGAACCTAAAAATTAAAGTGTATTAATGTTATTTACTTAATGGAGAAAAGTTAAGCAATCTTGCTTGGTCGAAAAATAAAACTATAATGTTTCATTAAAAACTTACCTAAATCAATGTTTAACAGCATTCTATTATCGCGCAACTGCAGTGCAATGTAATCTCCTTGAGTGCCTCTGCTGTAAAATAGGATCCCATTTGGGGCTATAGTCTTGAAACGGAACTTAATGCTTTCTTTTAACGCAGAAACTTGATCTCTAAACAAATCGTACTTTAATAATGAGGTGCCATTGAAGTGCATGTTGTCAGCCTCTAAAATATAAAAATTAATTTGATGTACCTTATTGTCAATTAAATCATTTATTTTTCATAATTTCCATGAAATGTTACCGTATTCACAGCCAAAAAGTTCTACTCTCAAGGATATTCGGTCACGCCATCTGGTAGGATTTATCCTTATCCATTGGGCAATAATGGGGACATCAAATTCATTTTTATGGACTGTATCACCGTCTACATTTGCGGCGAACATCTAGAAACGTTTGTCTGTTTTTAATGGTCATTAAGAAAGTTTTGTTTATTTGATAAACGTTTGTTTAAAGGTATGTATAAAACAATGTAATTAAGGATATGTAACTCTGTAAAGAATCATATACATTAAGAAGACAGATTAAAAAACATTTTTTTGTATTAATGATTTTTAAAAATGCAGAAGGTTCTTTATAGAATTATATTCCAATTTAATTTAGTCTACTTCTCACATTTTTCCTATTTTTATGCAAGAAATTTTTAAGTGTTAGAAATATATAACAAACATTGTGAGAAGGAGATCTAGGAATTATATTTGTAGCCTAGATATTTCAATGTATTTGTAAAAACAAACTCAAAAAATAGATATTTGAACATTTTTGTTAGTAACCAAATCAAATAGAAAAACTTAGCATGAAATTAATTTTCACACATCGATACATCTAGTGCCAACTCACCTCATGTGATTAATTAAGAGTAAAACGTTTATGTTATGTCATTTATTACATAAAGAATCAATGGTAGGGCTGGTGGGATGTAATTTCTGTAGGTGTCAGCATAGTTACCATGAAAAATATGGGTTTCTTAATCTTAAAAAAGTTCATAGTCTGACGTACAGACGTACATTACATATACGGTATCTTTCTCATAAAAGTCGATGCAAGGAGTAAAATTGTCACTTATTAATCTTCAAATTTCAAATGAATAGAATATTTTGAGTGAAGAACTGCGAACGTGAGTGTAGATGATAAATAAACAAAATAAACATATATTTTCTTATAAAATAATTTGAATCAGTTTCTGGCAATACAACTGCTCTGCCTTTGTTATTGTGACACACAATCAAATCCTTAATTATGTACAAAAATAGCGTAAAAATTACCCCATAAAAATAGTAATTGGGCAAATAAAGTAATTTTTAATTAAATTAATAAAAACTAAATATTAAACTTAAAACAATAGAATAGGAAGAAAGTGAAAAACAATAGATCTAAGTAATGTTAAAACAGTAACGCTGGCAACACACAACACTAGGCACTGCCGTGATGTGAATGTGAATACGCGTTCGCATTTCTCTTCAGAGAACCCTTTGAAGTTGGTACCAAGAACAGAATTGGATCGAAGAAAGCGTGGAAAACGTGAATAATAAAATCATCTGCACTCTCGTTCGCGGGTCTTCACAGGTTTTCGTAAATTGAGTCTCGAGTCGGCATAAGGTCCCTGAGGACATATTATCTATCTATTATTTTTTCTTGATAATCCTCACCCTTTGTAACTCGTATAATTACGATAAATATTGTTTGTTTTATTTCACAGTGCTTCTGAGATGTTATTAATGGTTGTTTTCCTTAATAAGTACTTAGCTATCATATAAGAATATTAAATGACCCCTGTGTTCAGGAGTATATAAGAAAAGGTAAAGGAAATTTAATTTAACAGGTATAACATTGAATTTTCATCTTTACTGGTGTGGAATATTAAGGTGCATATTTATAAACATTTGGCTGAATTCGTCATTGACTGAAAATCGAAGTTCGGGTACAACTGCTCTAGAGTTACAAGTGGTTCCAGCGTTTCACTGGAATTTGTTACTGTCTTCTATATTCCAAATTTCTGCGATATACGCGAACTTCAATTTTCGTTCAAGGGGCCAAATGCGCTAAGCCAAATACGGTTAATTAATATGAACCTAAATTATATCATAAATCAAAGTTTCGCGAAAAAATATGCACCAACTTTTATGAGAATATACTAAGAAATGATACCGTTTAGACATAATGTTAAGTTGCGGCAAATTCGACATAAAATTTATATAAATAAATATACTAAGGGGTGGGATAAGAAAAACAGAAGCAATAGAATGTTAATATGCACCTCAGTCTCTCCCTCAAAGTCATGGAAACTCTTCCAACCTTCACCATCGTCCGAGTATTCGATAATGTACTCAGTAACGAACTCATGACTACCTCCACCACGTCCCTGCGTAGCTATGGATCGGATCTCGAATCGGTAACCCAAGTCGAGGGTTAGTTTTTCGAAATAGGTGCTCTCTCGGGGACTCCAAGCCGATCCACCTGAGGAACGACGCCAAACCAACAAAAATAGTTATTTTTTTTGTTAGAGAAGAATATGCAAATATAATTTTATACGTCGGCAATTATCAATTTATACAAAGTGTTATTTATAGTAGACAAACATACGCGAAATTCCTATTGTAAAATCATGGAAAAACTATACAGGGTTCGGAAAACTTCCGTCGTATTTCTACAACTCCTTTAAATAAAACTTAACGATTTATTTGAAATGTACGTGTCAACGGTGGTAACAATCAAATACCAGAAAAACAATTTTGGAAACTAAACTTTTTAATTTTTAGAAACTCTATAGCCACTACTACTTTTATTCCCTCAACTGTTTTGAGACTTTTTGTCAGAAAATATGGAATTTTCATTATCTTTCTTTAAAAAATTAAATATATGTATTGTAAATTTTAAGAAAAAAAATAATAAAAATTTGAGGGTTTCTGACAGCCCTTTAGCAGTGGCCTAGCCATCTGACGATTTGTACACTTCATCTTATGCTACCTTCAAAGAGGTAAAATCGTTTTAAGCCGATATTTTTTAAAATTCAGAGTTGTCTTACGTCTCATTTGCAAGGATTTAAACTAAATCGTTGGAGATGACACTTCCTGATGGTCCCGTCAACCTCTTCACAAAATTCCAGCCGGTAGTACGATCGTATCACCTTGCGGCCGCTAATTCTCAGTCTATCCTATAAAACGTTAATTTTCTAGTAAAGGAAGAAGAGCTGGATCTTAGTACGCATGAATGAAAATAAAAATAAAAACACATATTTACCGAGCATACAATATATACAATACATTTTTCAGAATGGCGTCATCCTAGCCAACGGGAAAAATGCAGACAACGTGTTTAATTCTATACCTCGTACAATGTGCTACAACGACAAAAATTGTTAAAACCTTTTTCAGATTATTAAATTTTGTTGTTTTTCTTCCAAACTTTTTTTGCAATTATTTTCTTGATAAAATATGTCGTTACCGGTAAACTAATAAAAATGCCTTGAGTAAAACTTGCAGAGTATGCGATTCTCTAGAATTTTCTCTATGTTCTTCTAATCCTAGATCATCTTAGGATATCCTGAATGTCACACGTGCTTCTAATTACAGATGTTATTAGTGCTGAAAGATCAAACCTTCGGGCTTGCTTAGCTTTTGTTGATGTGAATAATGACGTGCGATATATCATCGATGTTGCCACTTATAGGTCGGCAGTTACTCGACTTGCCTTGCTTTTCAACGCGCTGTTTCGTCGTGTACGTTGACTAAATGTTCCTAATTTTAGCGATTTAATAGCAAAAAAATTAACCCGCCTAAAAATTACCATATACGACAATCAACAATAATTATCCGGCTCGAAGGATCAAAAATGCTGTGGACATTTAATTTGTCTTAAGAGCTGAAGAAAACAAATAAAATCTTACCGAGTTGATTGTCGAGCCCTAAGCTGTCGATGGACACTTTTGGGATAGGATTATAGAAAAAGGGGGATTTCACAATTAATTATTAAAATATAACTAAAGAAATCGATGGTTTTCATATAAAATTCTGTGTATTGCTAATCGCGTCATAATTTAATATACTAAGTAACTAATGTGTAGAAGACATAAAAATACCTACCAACTGCGACGTTGTCACGTCTTAAAGTAAATATAAAATATACGGAAAAGAATCTTTTCATATCATTTTTTGGTATTTGAACAGCTCCAAAGTTCGTTTTTTACAGTATAGTATACAGTATTACTGTTACAAATATAAATAATTTTTACAGCAGTGATGAAGAAACCAAGAGGCCTAAAGTATATCACTCACAATGTAATAATTCCCTATACTTTTAGTTGATAATCATACATCATGTATTTGACCAATAAATGTTAATCATATTTGGTACATTAATTAACTATAAACATCTAGTAGAAAAGCTTCTCAATTTTTGACATTTCTTTTGTAATATAACTGTAAATAATTAATGTCATATTTTATCAACTGAGTACGACTTTTGATATCGAGACTATGGATAATCACATAAGTTAACGCGATTATCGAAAGTCACGATACCGTTCGTTGTATTATATATGATAAGGTTTAGAAAACTTTCTTTGGTTTGAGTTTGGCTCTGTAGACTTAGTTAGGGTCGTGTACAGGAAGTCAGCCTTTTTTATCTGAAATTACTTAAATAACAATGAAGTTATATTTTTTTAATAAAACACTTGCAATCAACGATTTTGATTACTTACATGCCCAAAACTTCAAAATGGCCCTTTAGACCTGAACTATTATCGAAAATTCAATATTTCTCATCTTTGAAAAAGTTTTTAAATCCTTTATTGTTAAAGTTAAAACTCATTTTGTATATAGATAAACGCTCGGTTAAATCATACCTTCGAAACCAATTAATAAAGTGATTTTGATTCAACCGGTCCTTAAACTATTTGACATAGTACTCGTAAATTATACTTGATTTCGTATAAACGAAGGAAAAATTAATACATATAACCATAGTATTTTTGACCAAATAAATAATCATTAGGCAACGGGTTATTTTAGTAAAGGTAACCTAACCGTAAGAATTCACCACCGATTGTGAAACTGGCTATTAGAGTTAAAGTAAACCAGATTATTTTTCCATCTGGAATCAGTGCGACTTAAGCTAGGTAGGTAACCGCTGGGGAAACAATGTCTTACAACTTCAGCGAAGCATAGGTCGTTCGCGCTGTCAATGAGTATCTGATATAATTAGGGGAAACAATCTTTAGGAGATGTAAAACCATGGGTCTCGGGTTCATAGATGTTGGGCTCGTTAAAGAGCCGTACAACCGATTGAAAATAAATGAGAAAAAAAGACATGGAATCTCACGTAATAGCTTGTCTAAACACTTCAGTAAAAACTAAATATATATACTCACAAGTATCGCCTTTTTTTA